CACATGTGTCTGGGTATGATCGGCTGACGAGGTCTTATAAGCCAGAAATGGCCATTCCAGTCTCCATTTTTTGCCGGTGATACTATCCGCCTATACTGCCAACCGTTACGGCTGTCAGGACCTCTGGTGGGGTCCAAGGCAGAGCGGGACAGATGAGTTCCGTTAGTGGTCGCGTGAACGTCCATCAATGAGTGACAAAATACATGCCTCAGTTGTTCTTACTGAAAACTTTGAAACACTCAAAGGAAAACTTGATGTATCTTTACATAATGGTCATATACTTACTAGGCATCAACCAAGTTAAAAGACCGCCAATTTTATCGGATTGTTTTCCAATTTTGGAAAGCCCGACTACTCTGTCCATTCTGCAGTTTTACTATTCCTGTCCCATGTGGGCCTAGCTTCATTTAATAGCCAAATTTTTTCATGGCCATGCTGAAAATGCAGGCAGCTTATGAAGTCAATTAGTCTTCGGATTTCCGGTAAATGCGTACTCAAATTTCTCCCCCGTCGGCCCTTTACTTACGTGTTTCTTCATGATTCATTTGACGTTGGTTTCATGCCATTATAGAAATGTTTTATACTATTTGACATTTTAAAACGATGCGATTGAACGATAAATGATTTCCAAATAGAACACAAATCATAGTAACGTTAATAGTTTTTTAAACAACTAGCACAAAAGCACACAATTTAAACTCCTAGAACGGTCACCTGTTTTCTGAAGGAAATGAAGTATGTTTTCTTTCTTATAAAATATTCACACGTATTCGTGTTATGATAAAATTTTCCCTTTTGACGCTAAGAAATTAAATATGTCTATTACAATAAACATAAATACAATCTATAGGTTGCCGCGACTGCGGTGTGTAAGGTATACCTTACACACCGCACGTCACGTGAAAACGCAGACGAGGCGCGCCTCCTCTGGATTTTCATCGTATATGCCGAAAAATACCCAGAGATATGTAGGAACCTGTATTCAACGCACGTAAGGCTCTTAGGCCAATTAATCGACCGTCTGTCATGATGGTGTTATCACGATAACACGCTCATACAGATCTAGCCCTTACGATTCTTCTAGTGATAATTCATGATTGGATGACTCTAGTCAGGTGTCTCTGTCGATAAAGTCCGCCCAGTATTTCGATGGCGCGATTGGCGTCAATGGCTGAAAATTGTTAGCAAGTTTATAATGCTCCTATCTACTGTTCCCAGAAAATCAGATCACTAGCCGCACACAAGCCCACAAATCTAGGCTGCTGGTGCAAAGGTAGATCAAGGTTAGTAGAATGTTATCGGTAGTGCGGTGTTTGCGAAAAAATATTGCTACCAGCCTTGAGTTCGAATATTCTCCGGTCTGTGATTTTCCATGGACTCGTCAGCGTTTCACTTTCTGGTTTTTATTGGAGTTAGATTTTCCCGAAGTAAATACGATCTCACGTATCTATTTAAAAAACCCAAATTTTCACCCTGGATTCAAGTGCCTCACTGATCCTGAAAAGATTTGCCTGTCTGTTTGACTACCTACAGGCCATCCAGCACTGCTCTAAGTGGCGAATTATGGAACGAAATGAGTAGTTGCTAATCTTACAGGCGTAAATGGGTACCGACCCTGCAGATGACTCATCGTGGACAATTTCATTAGCCGGAGCGGCCTTTTTTTCAAAATAAGCAAACAATGTATGCTCGTTTTTCAAAATTCTGCCTATATTTTTGCTGTTAAATTGTATTTACAGTCTGGTCGTGTTAAACCTCTGGATAAAGCAATCTATATCATCAACAATATTTAGACTTTTCCACCTTCTAGTACCGATTCAAGGGTAACCAAAGCTGTTGCATTCACGGAATCCACATGGCAATACTTAACTCGATTATCAGACTAAACGAGCCAACTGTCTTTTCAGTAAATACTCACTATTTGTGTAGGCATTTGAGTAAGTGCGGTTTTTTGTGCTGAATTGATCGAAAAAGGATAACAGTTTTTCCAGGCATATTTAAAACCAACCTTTTGTATTACAACCATCGAAAAATATTCCAAGCAAAAGTCATTTTAATGCTTCATCCTTGTGTATTAACCACTGAAATTCACTCAGTTATCTCATTTTAACAGCACGTGGGTTGCGGGAAAATGTGGGTATACGTGAGCTATGCGGGGCATTGCGTCTACATGAAGGTCTCATCTGTGCAAAAATCATTATCACCTTACATGCTTCTAAAAATACGAAAGTCAGCATTATTGCCTCAAATTTCTATGCCTTGGTGGTCCGGCAGCTAGCAGACACATTTGCTTATTAAGTATGTCTCCCATATCGAGGGTTAGCTTTTATAGACGGATCCTATCATGTTTACTGGAGAGAAATTTCCCGCCATTGTGCGTACCGTATTACTTGAAATCAATGAAACACTGATTACTTCTTTGCATATGCTTTTCATTTTGATACTCTGAAAAACATGTAATACAGTCTCAAATAATCCATATACTGATGTGTTGAATGTTCACGTTGGATCCTTTAAGCCACTTCTGCCGCACTCGCTTGCGAACAGCAAATACCTGTTCAGTGTGTTTTTCTTCCCGCCCTTCGGTGCTAATGTGACTTTAAGCATTCCTGCCTAGAGGATTAAAACAGTTGATTTTTCACGGCCGACATATCTGATTGTGAATTCTCCGGCATTTCGAATTTCAGAAATCTTAGTCCGCAACTCGAACCTCTGCGAGATTTCTACACTGACTTGCGCAGACTGATTTGTTAAATTTTTCCCAAACGGACGAGCTAAGCTAGTTACTCCGATCGTTTACATGTTATTTATTTTATTTTTTTCGCAGTCATTTGCATCAAGTCATCTGGAAATTACGAGCGCGTGGACAAAGAATGGCCGTGTTGCATGTTTTTTTTTACTATTTATCGACCGAGTTTGTTACAAAATATTTAGTACTTTCGTAGGCTGAAATTGGAATCTTTCGTTTTACATGTTAGTGCAGCCTGAAGCATATATCGCAAATCGTTTGTGGAAGTGATTTGCCAACTATTAAACATCGGGGTTGAGACAAAAGGACTATTCATGCGATCTAACCTCATCAAATAATCAAGCGTTTCCTCGCACCAACAGAGTAGCCTGTAGGTAGGGGAGGATTATCGACAAAGACAGGGGAAACTTGAATGACCGTTTCCGGCTTATTAACCATCATCATCCAGCCATGTTCAATTCCAAATGTCGCACCACTTGCAGCTGTCTCTCGCGAACTTTTGGTTAGAAGTCTACCGCTCTAACCACTGCGTCATGGGCTCGTTGCCTTGCCGGTTTCTATAAGGAATAGTAGTATTGAAAATGGGCGCTCACCGATCAGATAAGGGGCTCCCTTGTCCCGCAATGTCTTTCTTTAGCTTTACACTGGCATTACCACTTAAAAAAAACAAGCTCATCACCACATTGAATGCCAGTCAACTCACTAAACAGAAGTGTATCTAACCTATCCCATTTTGACTTTGCCGCCATTTTTTTGCTGATTTATACGTCTATAACATTTAACGACGACTTTAATGGTTTGCGTGTGTGTTTAATAAATGTATTAACCGACAGAATTAGAAGAGCGAAAGATGAACCGAGATTGCCCAGTCGTCTATACTTAGTAGAGGGATGTCATCTTCAAACGACCCACACAGTGTTCTTTATCACTTTAGTCTCCAAGTACAACCTCTGCGGCACTTTTCCGATTTCGACGGAACATCGGAGAGTGAGGCGTCTGAAATTTCCGTCGTACTTCCCTACCATCCGCGAATTCGCCCTAAGAAACCGCAACCACTATCTGATGGGCCTGTTCGTCGAAAGCGCGGTTCCAGAGCCCTCAGAAGATACGAAAATGGTAAGCTGGCCTCCTATTGTTAAAATTTTTGCTGTTCTTGCTCATTTCTACTTTCTCTACTGAAATATTGTCTTTTATTTACCCATAAAATTCTTCTATTTCGCACAGCAACCTCAGCAGCGCTATACCTGACCGCCGCATCAATTTGCCTCTATTCCAGATGCCGAAATACCGAGATGTTAGCTAAGGTTACTGGTCATTCCGCCTTTCCGCGTTATTGAATTTTATGTCATTAGTAGAAATTATGCGAAATATCCGAATTCGCTTTAAAAATATAAATATATCTCTAGACAAGATAGTGATGAGACTGTGGGACGTAATATTTATTTACGTACCATGGCAACTTTTTATTGTTAGCGTTCCTGGCAGCCCAGTCGGTCGCTCTTTCTTGAGATCTAGCATCCGTAGCGAATGTTTGCTGCCAGGCGGAGTCAAATTGTTATGGTCGCGCACGCTTCGCATATTAACTAATCGATTTTTACCTCCTCTAAGATTGTGCTTGAGCCACAATGATTTATCTTAGCGCTCAAGTCGCGTGTTTGGCACGCGTAGACGGAGTCACTGTACTGTCACTCTCAGCCACTGCACACGCGTTCATTTCTGGTCTTCTTGACTTTGTTTCGAACTTGACGGAGGGTGAGCAAGAGGAAATTGACTACCATAGGTGTCAAGTAATTCTGCATCATTGTGAAGTTATGCTTGCGCAACTAACTTCTGCAGTGTCCGCTACGTGGGATACATGGTGAACGTCTCCCATTGTCATTTCACTCTTGCTGACTCCCTGGACTAGTCCAGTTCAGGATGATCCGTTATGCGTTGTATCCTATAATCCACGTTGTGCCTTACAGTATCTACCGCTTGAATCTGTTATCTGTTGCGGTATACACTGACAGCGGCTAGTAAGCTAAAAATGGTCAT